GTCTCCTTCATCTTCACATATGCTTATCCACATTCTCCTCCGCAAAGTTGCTCAAGGGCAACTTTGATGTTACATAATTATATGCCGTTTTATGACAGGCCTGTTTTTTTTCCCCCCTTTTTGTTCTGCACATCAAAGCTTCATTGGTATTAGCCTTCATCAGCAGGGAATTAGTTGAAAAGAGAACCACACATATTCAGCTCATCACACAGTATCAGAGGATCACACCTTATGAAGCTCCAATTAACACGATGAGCGTAATTCGCACGCAACACCATCAGCATTGATTTCTGCCTTATTTTAAAAACCCATATCCTACCCCAGACTCATTCGACAGGTTTCACTAGCAGCCCAATTTGAGTTAAAGTGTTGTATTTGGATTATCTGAAAGTGTGCAATAGAGTGCAACAGTTGGGTTCTGGAAGTAAAATCTCTATTAATTGTCTCCATGTTGAGGTTTTTAGGAAAATAACAGTCAACTTTTAAAGACATAGCTCTCGTGAAGTTTGAGGATGGTAATCAATTGATGTTTATCAGTAGAATTTGTGCTGAAAAATTACATTATTAATGATGCTGTGAAGAAAATTACAGTTTAGAAGTGTGGCATAAGTAGCTGCGTCCCAAACGGCACACTATACACTTTGCACTATGTACTTATGTATTTACACACTCAACATCATAGTAGAGATCTGCGTGGGACTAAATTTTGAATCCCGCTCCCGCCCGCACCCGCCAGGTTTTACCCTGAACCCGACCGCTCCCGCTTATATTCGGCATTTGTTGTCTTGCTGCCCGACCCGCCCCGTTTTCTACCCGCCGTTCCCGTTCCCGCTAACGGATGCGGGGAGAACAAAGCTGAAAACCACTTAGCTATACATTGTCCAGACAGCCTATAACAAGCTGTCTGTATAAACACACACACACACAAGCACAAGCAAGTGACACACACAGACAGCGTCTCGCTCTCTTTTTCATTTATACACACACACACACGCACACACACACACAGAGAGAGAGAGAGAGAGAGAGCACAAAGCTCTCTCTCTTATTCGCACACACATAGACAGCAACAAACAAGCTAAACGCAGCATCATGCTGTCTCATTCGCACATACATATGCGTGTTCGTTCGCTCGGAAGTCAAAAGCGATATTGTTAGACTGCCCGCTCCGTCCAAAATTAAACCCGTTACCGACCGCTCCCGCGCTTTATTCAGAAATGTATTCCCGCGCCACTGAAATGTGGTCGGGTCCCGCGGGAATGCAGACCTTTACATCATAGTATAGACCAGTGGTTCTCAAACTGTGGTACATGTACCACAAGAGGTATGCAGGCTTCCTTCTAGTGGTTCACAGAGGAATCGCTGAATAATTTAAGTAAAAAAAAAAATTAACACACTTTTGATTTTAATAGGCTAAACTTTTTTATTTTATTTTCATATTTCTAATGTTTGTTATGTATTCTATCATTTGAGGTTATTTTCCTCCCTATGCTTGTAACGGTTGTTGGGGACATTTCTCGTAAATTTTTATTCCAATGTTGACAGGTATAGTTTACTTGCTTGCTTCACTGACACACAGCCTACTCTAACAATCAGTAAGCAGATCTAGTTTCTAATTTAAATATGTAAATCAAATTCATATATTTGAAATACAAGTTAACGTTTACATTTCAAACATATACAAATAAGTCATACAGATATGCAACATATATTACAAAATTGATCAAACATGTATAACCTATATTTATGAGATCCAAGAAGCATTTGCAGGTTTTGTTGAATAGGCTACTTTATGATAATACTTTACATTTAAGTACAGCAAAAGTTTTCTTTTAACATTGTAATAACAGTGCCATTTTACTTAACTTTTAAAATCACATTTTAATTTAAACGTTGACGTTTTATTTATCTCTATTCTAGAAACAGATTTCTTTAGTTAACAGTTTAACAGTTTCTTTAGTTATCCTAGTCACCAATAATAAGGGTTAAATTGGGATAATTTTGACAGTTACCCCTACATGTTTTTTCCAGCCTGATCTGATCATGAAAAGTAAGTATTTTACGTTTTAATCAGTTTAGTGGCTAATTTGTACGAAATCATATGAGTTAAGTCGTACGAAAATAAACAATTTTAAAAAGGAGGCGTGGCACCCAACCCCGCCCCTAAACCAACGCTCATTTGGGTGATGAGCAAATCGTACTAAATTGTAAGAATTAGATCGTACGAATTCATACGAATTAGCCACTAAATCAAAAAGTTACGAATTGCGTGAGATTGTGTTGATTTTTTTCATGTTGGAGCTCTAGTTTATGTATATGTTGCGAAGCCAATTCGATGTTTAGTGTGCATTACTTTATTAAACTATTCTTGTTGACATCTTGTAGTGAAAACAGCCTGAACTTGAGATCACGGCTGACCTGGTCTGATAAACTCACTTCACAGACAGTGATCTTACTGTCCTTCTCGGAACTGCAGATCCGCGCTCTTAACGAAAGCAGGAGACGCATTTCTATAGTAACCTCTCACGACACAACCTTTCCAATGTGGCACCTCGCGATATTTGCAAACAAGTTGCAAATGAATCCTATTTATTATCGTTTGACAGTAACGGAGGAACACCGCCAAATGTAGCGAAGTAAGAGCAATGATTTTTCTCTAATAATTTACTTGAGTAAAAGTAAAAGTACACATTTCTAAATGTACTTAAAAAGTAAACAATACCCAACAATTTTAGTCAAGTAAATGTGATGGAGTAAATGCAATTTGTTACTGCCCACCTCTGATAATATTTGTCCCAACATGTCTTATTTCTATATTTTCTGATTTCTATATTTTAAACATTTAATCTCACAAGATAGTTTTGCAATTGGAATTGCTTCATAAATGCAACAGTGTTGTCTCTGAGCAACATTAAACTGTCAGTATAAAGACCCTATGTCTAATTATCACTTTATATGTAGTTTCCATGCAACCTCTGAATGCTCTGATGATTTATTTACGCATATTTTGTTGACATTGGCTAGTTGTTAGTTATTCTCAGTTCTGTGAATGTCTATCTCATTAACATCTGCGTTTATGGAAATGTTGTTGATTTGCATTATGAATTAAATATAAAAGGCAATACTGCAAGACATACTGACACCACTTATCATTTAGCTAGAATAGTATCCCAAAATATATTTATTGCATCATATTGAGAGATGCACAGACACTTTTTCTCTCATATTAGTTTTTCCACTGGCATTCACTCTAAAATGGCATATTAAATTTAGCAACAGAAGCCTGGAATACAGTAATGACATAAGAAATTACAAATGTTTTGAAATAAAACATGATGTGAACTTTTTATGATTTACTTATGACTTATTTTCGTGTTTTCATTTATTGACTCCAGACTGTTAAGTTATATATGAAATATGGCTTAACTTTTTTCAATTGATTTAGCTGGCTATTATTAACCATTCCTTACTGTATCTTTATTTTCTTCTGCTCTATAGGAGAGCTGTACATTGGAGGTGTGGGGAAGAGCATGTACAACAGTCTGCCAAAGCTCATTGCATCGCGGGATGGTTATCAGGGCTGCCTGGCCTCAGTTGACCTGAATGGCAGACTTTCAGACCTGATTGCAGATGCTCTGCACCGTGTGGGCCAAGTGGAGCGAGGATGTGAGGGTCAGTATACTGATGCTCTGAGGCAATCATGACAACATATGAGCCTTAAATCAAATTATATTTCTGGCATGCTCAATTAAAGACTATGCAGTACACAAGATGAACATTATTGTCTAGCAAAATGCTACCAATTTCATTGTTAGTACTTGAAATGCCCAATTTAATCGCATCAGCTTTGAGAGTGCTAAACCTAAAAAATATGTTTGCTGTTTGTTCAAACTGATTATTTAAACTGAGCTGAAACAACACAATTCTTGAGATGTTTTGGAGACAACTTACTTGTTTTATGTTCAATCAACTTAAAGTAAAAATAAAAAAAATAAGTTAACCCAGCAATTTTTACAGTGTAAGCTGTAAAACAAAATGCTGAGTTCCACACAATTCATTCAGGTTGTCCCAACATAAATCAATTAAGTTAACTTAATCTCAAGAATTAGGCTCAGGATGTATAAACTCAAGAATTGTGTTTTTACAAAGGTAACACAGTCAAAAGTATTGCGGATCCAAACATAGTTTATTAGAGGCAAGGTTGTGCAGGCAATGGTCAAATACAGGAGCAAAAGAGTAGTACAGGGGTAATCCAATAAACGTGGTCAGTATACAGGCAGGAGGTCAAATTGGCGGCAAAAAAATCAAAACGGGAAACAAGGCAAGAATCAAAACATGGGAAAACAAACAGAGAAAAAATGCTTTGTTGTGTTTATTAAATAAACAAGACAACAATGTGTGAGTGAAGGTGAGGTGTACTTATATTCCTTGTAATCAGTGCATAATGAGCTACAGCTGTGACTGTGTGAGTGTCCTGATTATTGTCAGCTGCTGTAGGAATTGATGAGCGCAGAGAGTTCTGGGAGTTGTAGTCCATAAAGAAGTAAAACAGAGAAAATAGAGATGGCGATTACACCAGACTACATGAAGTAATCCTTAGCGGAGACAACACTGCTGGCGATCATACCATGTGTTGATTCAGCTCATTTTAAATAAGTGGTTTGAACAAGCTACAGAAATCTTTTTTTTTTTTTTTTTGTATAGTCGGTGTTACAAGTGTTACTCAGTGTTTGGTTGTACATCAAATTCATTACTTGGCCACTGACTGTGGCCCCTAAAAAAAAAAAAAAAAAAAAAAAACTGTTGGACAATGTACTTCACTGAACATATAACTTCACTGAACATGTAACTTCATATCAAAATTATGGTAGTTCAATATAAATTTGAATTCTTTTTCAGTTTATAATACTTTTTTTTTTTTTTTTTTACTGTTTTCTTTGTTTGATACTATTCATTGCTGTGCATTACAGGTAAGTAATTTCCCTAGTATTTGTTTACCAGGGTTGTATTTATTTAATCAAGCATACAGTAAAATGCAATATTATAAAATAGGACTACAGTTCAAAATCTATTGACTATGTTTTTTAGTGTCATTTCTACAAGTGATTTAAAATGCAATTGATTCATGTTATTAATTCAGTCCTTGGTCTTTATTAATATTGAAGGATAAATCATGTTTGGTGATCACACTTTATTTAAAGGTATTCTTGCAATTAACAAACACATATAGCTCAAAAATGTGCTCCTTATTAGCTATTCAGTTAGATTTAGGTTTTAGTTATGATTAGAGACATGTAAATAAGATCATGCAGAATAAGTACTTTTAAAAGTATTTATAAGTATTCATATTCTTATTACAACTGCACAATATAGTTAAAAATTGTAATAATTTAATAATGGTATATGCAATATCTAAATCACATTTTTTTTTTTTTCATTTGTCTTTCTAATTTTATGCCATCCTGTCCTGGTGCTATTTAGCTTTTGGCTAGACCAGCATGTCTGAATGCCTCAGAGCAGAGGGCTGAAAATGAATACTAATGGAAGGAGTGGAGACAAAGCAAGGAGAAATGACAACAGTGAATATATGCTGAGGTTTTCAGACATTCATATTGCAATATTGTGCATAGTGCTACTATAAATGTTTACACCTTAAAATATACATTAGCGTAAAGAATGTTTAAATTATTATTTTTTAATAGCTAATAAATATTATATTTATCTAGTGGAAAAAAAACAAACATATTCTTTCAGTACTTAACAGCAATATTGCAATTTTTTTTAGTGTCATGGAGCCTGATACTTACTTTTAAAGTCCCTGTAAACCGGACGTTTCTGAGACTTTTATTTCAGTATGTTGATGTACTGAGACAAAATATTGAGTAGGGAGTGGGGCTTTCTTTTTGCACATCATTTCCTCACAGCAAATTAAGGGTAAGAGGTGTGTAGCTAAGAATATTGTGGCTGAAACTAGCAAACTGATGCTAACAGAGAATGACCATCATTCCATAAGCAAATGATTGAAAGCAAATGATCAGACTTTGATTAAAGATTAGCAAATCATTTTTTTTTTTCAGTGGATGTGCACCAAAAGAATAACAATGTGCACTAGCAAATAACTAAATAAATGTAGATTTTACATTAGAGTTTTTTTTTAATCTAGAGTTGCACTGCACCAAAAGGGAGATTAAGATTCATCCACATTATCAAGTTAATCTAAATATTTAGCTTACATTTGTGCAGATTTTGCAGTTAACTTGAAATATATGTAGCTTCACATTTCAGTTGTCATTTGCAATGCCTTATAGTTCTTTAAGTATGCAGTTTTGTTTTTGCTTTATTAATACACTATTAGCTTCTTCTTATTCTTCTTTGGCCTTTGTCCCGTATGGTTGCGGGGTCGGCTCTTTGGAACAAGTCCTCCATTTAAACTTGTCAATATGATAATGACTTTTTTTTACACAATCCGGCCTGCCTGTCGTCTGGGCCTGTCACCCTCATACACTCATACACTACGGACAATTTAGCCTACCCAATTCACCTGTAGCATGTCTTTGGACTGTGGGGGAAACCTGAGCACCCGGAGGAAACCCACGCGAACGCAGGGAGAACATGCAAACTCCTTACAGAAATGCCAACTGAGCCGAGGTTCGAACCAGCTACCTTCTTGCTGTGAGGCGACAGCACCACCTGCTGCGCCACTGCTTCGCCCTATTAATACACTATTAGCATTTTTTGTAAATTACCCAGTGTTTCACTGTATTATTAATAGTATTTTACTGTAAAGCAGTTGTGTAACTTGTTAAATATGCTTTTGGTGCCACTTATACGGTATTTTTAATTGGCTATAAATCAAAATACAATCCAAAAAAATAAGCATGAAATTTGTCAGGCATATGAAACCGTTTGGACCATTTGTTTTAAATATGTAAATGAACATTGAACTACTTTTTTATTGTAAGGAAATATATTACATGCGAGAAGACTAAAAATACTGTATATTTTACAGTAATAAGTACTGTAAATACGTATACACAGGGCTGGTGCGTCCATAGAGTTTAAATAGAGAGGGCGGCGTCAGCGACATCTCCCTCACCACACGCGTCCTCAGTTATGTCCATGACACCTCCCTAATCACCCACATCGTCAATTATATCCGTGCCAGTCTTCACTTTGATAACCGTCCACTTTTGGTTTCACTTTTGGTTTGAGGGCGACGTGATTGTCCTCTGCCTAGAGCAAATTGTTAGCAGTGTGAATGACAGCCTTAAAAGCCTTGGCATTTCTAGTGCTTCTGATATCGACAGTGCTATTGTTTGTTGTATATATAATTGCATATATTATATTTCTGCTTTTCCAACTTGCTGTTTGTTTCAGCCGGTCCCGGCACAACCTGCACGGAAGACTCATGCTCCAATCAGGGCGTTTGTTTGCAGCAGTGGGAAGGTTTTACCTGCGACTGCACCATGACGACATACGGTGGTCCCCTCTGCAGTGACCGTGAGTACCGCTTTGCTCTTTAGCAGGGATTAAACAGCTTTATTAAAGAGGCTTGTTTGGCCACATTAATAAGCCGTTCAAGGCTTCTCCTTTGATAATCTCTGAGCTAAGTGTTTGAAGTACTAAACGATGTGTGCGCCGCAATGCAGTCTTTTTAATGTGCAGATAAGGCAGAACACTCTAATTAGCAAAGGGCCACAAGATAATGTTCATAAAGAGCTAGTAATGGTTGGAGTGACCCCTGAACTGAAGGTAGGAAGATATGCAATTTGGGCAGCATCAAAAATGTTTAATTACACCAAAGCTTGGAGGTGGAGCCGTGGGTTTTTTAATGTGCGCGATGCTGAATGTGTAATAAAAAAAGTCTGACTGTGCTTTGCTTGCAAACAGAAACTGGCCTTGTGCACGAGGCAGATTGAGTTTGCTTTAATAACATAGCCATATTTTTTTTTGACAATAATGCTCTAGGGACCACACTAATGAGCTAAATGAAGATAAATAGGGTTAGCTGCTCTAAACAGTAAGAAAGCGAGCAGATGAGTGAGTTGGAGTGTTTTAAATGTCTTCATTACACACCTGGAGTGAGTTAAATACGCGGTTTATTAGGATTGAATGCATTTGCAATGTTTCTGTTTTTTAAATAATTGGCATGTTCATGACGTTACATGAATACGTATATAAATAAGTGGGATCTGTCTTTGAGTAGATTTATTTTACTATTGAAAACATGTAGGTATATGGTTCAAAGACGAAAAGGGGGTTTCAAGTGTCAAGAGTAAATATGCAACCATGTTTTATATTTAACTGAATGATCGCTTATTTATTTTTGTATACTTCCACATATAAAATCACATATTTTTCTTTTAAACCAAAGCCGAAATGAAATATCACGTCTTTGAACCATGTGTGGATGTTTGTGTGTGTTATCTACATTGATTCAATTAGATCAAATTAGATCCATTAACTCCATTAGATCCTAATTTCCTTGGCCTAGGATGCATATATTCTGAATTGTTTCCAAAATTACCAGTAGCCAAATGCAAGTGGAAAGTATTTTTTTTATTGTTTTTATTATTTTATTTTAATTTAATTTAATAATTTAATTTAATTTAATTTAATTTTATTTTATTTTATTTTATTTTATTTTATTTTATTTTATTTTATTTTATTTTATTTTATTTTATTTTATTTTATTTATTTAAATTTTTAAATTATTATTTTATTTTTTATTTGTATTTTTTATTATACTATTTTATTTCATAATATTTCATTTTATTATTTCTATTTTATTATTCTAATATTTTGTTTTATTTTATTTTATTTATTTATTTATTTATTTATTTATTTATTTTTATTTTTATTATTTTATTTATTTATTTATTTTATTTTATTTTAAATTAAATTACCCTTATTTTAAATTACCCTTCCATTACCCTGGAAATGAAGCTAATACTTTATAGACTTAATTTCTGTAATTACATGTTTTGTTTGACCTCATCAGCCAATAACTGGGAAACTGCTGTACAAAGAATCAGTGTAAATAATACATCAAATATTTACTTGGCTTATTTAGCTGTACAAGAATTAAAAGTGACCAGTATTCAAGCAGCATGTGTAAACATTTGTGAAATTTATTATGCATGAACTATAGCGGCGTGGAGTGTGTCGATGCAGCAGAACTGTGAGTACAAAACAACTTCTGCACTGTTAACTCAATTAACACTACAGACAATTGTTTCACAGCACTGCGTACAGTACAACACCATACAACTCAGCTCACTCGCCGGCATCAAAGTGATAATGACTTGAAATGATCTCATATAGACATTCTTGCCTATGTTGAAGAGCACTGCACATTTGTAGCTTCAAGCAGAGGAATTAAGCAATATTATTAACTGATAATTCATGGAAACATCCTGAAGGCTGTTCATATCATACACTATGAGAGAAAAGTTTTTTTTTTTTTTTCTTGCAAAGAACTGAAAGAAAAAGAAGGCCAACATTTAACAGGGAAGGAATTTCAAGGCACTTCTGTGCAGGATTAGGCCATTCCAATGTGATTTAATCTGTCAGCTAATGCTGAATTCACCTACACAGCCATAAATCAATAAACTCAATTATTCTTTCATGAAAAGTGGTTTAAACTGACAAAATACAAGGCTTTATCCAATTTAAAGTACCCATCTTGTGCTATTTTAAAGGATCCTAAATTTGTTTTGGAGGTCTTCTACATCCATCCAAGGTAAAAACATTGAAAAACATTTCAATCTTCTCAGAAACATAGTGTATGCAGCAGCTTCATGTCTTTCTCTAAGAGGGGTTTGTCTGAAAAGCTGGTTCAAGGATTTGCACTCTCTAAACTCATTCTCTCCGACTTCTTTCTGGTTTGTCAGATGTTGCTCAGTCTGTTGTGATTGGTCAATGTTTACAGAGTGTCAGACGTATTAATTACCATATCTGGGCTTTAGCGTTGCAGGCTTCAGTAGCATAGTGATACAAACAGTTTTGTGATAGTTTTGCTGGATATATTCAAGCCAGAGTCCTCTTTTTAAAGGTTCTCTGTTCTGTTTTAGTCTCCTAGTGTTATCAGTTGAGTTTGACTTTTATAGAATCCATTGAGTTGATCTCCGGGTCTAGTGGGAGCAATTTTAGCTTAGCTTTGGATAAATCATTGACTTGGATTAGACCATTAGCATCTTGATCTAATTCAAGTCAATGTTCTATGCAGAAACAGAAACTGGGCTGAACATGGACTTGCATGGTCACAATACAACTCTGATGATAGGCAGGGGCTGTTATAGACACTTTTTAGGTGAGATATACCCCATTTGATTATTTTTTTAATCCATTCAGCTGATCTTCAGGTCTAGCACTTCTAGCTTAGCTTAGCATAAATCATTGACTTGGATTAAACTATTAGCATCTTGCTCAAAAATATCAAAAACAGAGCTTCAATAATTTTCCAGTTTAAAGCTTTTCTGTAGTTTCATTGCGTACTAAGACAAGTCAATGCACTTTGCTGCTGTACCATGGCTGCAGCCGGTGCAAGGATATTATGCAGTGCCTGAAAATAGTACCCAGCAAGAGTAACTAGGTAATAGTAGGTAATAGTAAACTCAACTGTCCAACAATGGTAAATACTTTAACTATAGAAGACTTGTGAAATTAGCCTATTTCCAATAAAAATTTGGAGAGTTCTTTTAAGTGTACAAAGTGAATTCTTTATGTGAAAAACATATTCCAAACTCTTCCAGGCTTTAACTCAACTACAGTGTTTGAAGGCTGTACCTTTAATGATGGATACTCTTCTTTTTTTCTCTCTCTCATTCGAAAGAACTGTCAGGTAAACAGCCAACCACACTGTAGGTATTCCCTTTGAAATCTGGGAAAGCATGTCTCATCCACTTGCCATTCAAGTTATATTAGTATGAAAAAAGTGATTGTCAAAGGTCTGCAGAGTTTCATAGGTCAAAGTGTTCAATAAATGGAACTAAGCCAAAGTTGACTCCAGCTGATGCAAATTTCACCTTTAGAACTGTATGTGATTATGTACACCATCTGATTTTGTAGCTTTTTTCACTTTCAGTTGGTTTTGCAGTACTTGTTTAGTTCTTAAGGTGTCAACCAGGCCGCTTTTTTTTTTTTCAAAATTGGAAAGTAAACAGAGGACATGGAAAAAGACAACACTATATTAACAAGGACATTTGTAGCACATTTGCATAATACCAGCTTATGGTTTTCACTGGCTGCTTGCAAACTTTATCTAGCTCATCCAAAACAAAAATAGTAATAACTTGCTCTCCTTCCACTCATTTCAAACCTTTGAGTTTTTTTATTTTTATTTTTATTATTATTCTGTTGAACACAAACAAAAATATTTTGAAGAATGTAGGAAACCAGTAGCCACTGCATTTTTTCCTACTATGGGAAGTCAATGGTTACCCGTTTCAAGCTTTTTTCAAAATATCTTTTTTTTTTGTGTTCAACAGAAAAGCAAAACACATAAAGGTTTGCAATCACTTGAGGGAGAATAAATGATGAGCATATTTCATTATTTTACGGTGAACTACCCTTTAAACGTGAAGTTTAGAATAATACGCTCATCAAGTTTGCTGTATTTTGTTGTGATTTTTCTTTCTATTTCAGTGTGTCATTTTGTATTGTTGTTTTACAATTTTCTTCACCTACGACACAGTACATAACAATCGTGCGCATTGCCACCTAGTGGACTCTTCTATATCAGCTTTCACCTTGCCCATATGCTGGGATACTGGGATAATAGTTTATAGTTTATAGTACAGTGCTCAGCATCATTTAACCTCACAAATCTATCTTTTAAATTAATATTTTAATAGGAAGCAATACAATATTATATTTGTGCGTATACATTAGATTAGTCAGTACTGAAGCCAAATCTGGAGCTCATCTAAGAAAACAACTTACAATAACGGTCCAAAAACTAGTAAAACAAAATGTATATGTTATAGGAAAATATTAAATACAAATTTTAAAAAAGAAGAAAAATTAAGAGAAGCAAAATAAATAAATAGATAAATAATGGAAAAATTAAGTTAAAATTTACTAAATAAACATTTCACTAAATAATTCTTCAAAATCATCTTTATAAGTGAGTATTAAATCATTCATTGAAAATGAAATATGTAAGAATTAAAATTATATAAGGATTCTATTCTATAATAATAATATTAAAAATACTATTATGTATCATATTGAATGATACATTCACAAAGTTACATTCACAAAGTTATAAGGGACCATGTTTGTGAATTGATCTTGTATAAATATAATTTGAAAGATAAATAAATAGCTGAGGTACAACAGTTAAAATTCTTGTACCTGGGGGTTAAAAAAACAAAATAAAATACAAATAATAAATAAAATCTAAAAGAAATATTAAAACAAAATAAAAGATCACCTTTAATGCTGTCAAATTAGCATATGCATATTACTTATTTAATTATTTAAATACAATTTGGAGA